CCACACGGAGGCTTTGCATAAACACCTATTTATAGGCTCCAAACGCCATGAGGGCAGGCCACCGCTCATCCGTTCAGGGGTACCTTCAGCGCCAGCTGCAATGCGTGGCCCAGGAAGGTGTCTGGTTCATGTGCGCTGAATACAGAATTGATCTGCTTCCTCCTGCCCTCCGGCATAAACAGAGGGCACTACGGCAGCAGACGCTGTGGTGACAAAGGTGGCCGATCTGCCAGGGGGAAAACCATGACCTGCTACAAAGTCACAGGCGGTCTTTTTCAGATTCTCTGCACCGAGAGAGAGGACGGGAGTGGATACGTGTGTGGGCGGGGATTCTAGCTGGCCTGGTCCCTTGGGGTGAGACCTGTGACTTACCTCTTCTCCCTGGCTCCCCGGGGAGAACTGAGTTGCTAAGGCAAAGACCCAGGAAGCATTTCGTCTCCCACCAAAAGCCCCGCACCCACACCCACGCCTGAGAGACACCAGGCCCTCCTCGGAGGGAGTGGGGCTGAGCAGGTGAAGGAGGCCCGGCTGCGGCATCCTGAGCGAGCAGGAAAAGGTCAGGGGTGTGTGACTCACACAGATGGGATCAGAGGACCCGGGATTCAGGTGGCGAGGAGGATCTTATCCCCCCATTTACCAGCCACGGATTACGTGCTTCCTGTGCCAGGGACTCGGCTAAGTGCTTCACGGGTAATCTCATTTAATTCTCCTACGAGAGGCAGCAAGGTGACGTGACTCACCAGGTCACTTGTCTGGTTTGAGATGGAATCAGATTCTGCACAGAGGCCTGTCTGTGCCCACGGGCGTGCCTCCCCCCTCGTTTCAGGGCTTTGCTCCCTGGGTTCTCCTTCCAGGGCCACGGGGATGTGGGAGAGGAGGAGCGTGAGAGGGCATGCTCGTGGAGAGATTAGATTTCCAGGAAATGAGGGCTCAGAACAAGAAGGCCTGGCCTGAAAATGGCTGCGGGAGAGGCGAGATAGCACTGGGGGGAGGACGGCCTCGGGGACTGGGGAGAGGAGCCCAGAAGAGGCAGGGCAGGCGGCTGACCCCTGACGGGAGGGCCTCTTCTTGCTCAGAGCCAGAGGCAAGATCAAGTGACCTCTTGAGGTTTCAAGACACGAAGAGACAAAGCCCAGAGCAGCCAGGGCCTGGCCCAGGTCCGGGCATGCCTGCTGACCCTGGCTGGAGGGTGGCCTTGGAAACTGCTTCCTGCTCTGGTCAGGCCCCAGCTGGCGTAACCTTGGAAGACCTGTGACATTTCTCTTGGACTCAGATCCAGGCTGAGAGGGAGCAGCGAGGGAGGGGGACTCGAGATTCCTGAACACCTTGGAGGGCCCTTCCTACCCTCCCACCCTCTTCCCCGGGCACGGCAGGGCCTCCAGGAGCCAGCCTGTCTGGCTTCGCTTTCCATCGAAGGGACTAGAGAAGCTGTCTGTAAGGGCCCGGCTGCCCGCGACCCCCACCCCTTTTATTCTGTCCCATGAGCTCAGCGCCCAGACCGGTCTGGCCCCACATCCTATACTCTGGCTCCTCTGAGCTCTCCTCTTCTGGTTCCCGTTGGGATGTGACCTGCCCTGCCCACAGTTCCCTCTGCCTGGGATGCCCCTCCGCCCTTCTCCAGTGTCCAAATCTTGCCTACTCTTCAAGGTCGAGCTAAAATGCAGCTTCTTCCACGGAACCTCAACATCCATTTAAGATGTCAGGCCCAGGAACAGCTGCAGGGAACATCCAACCAATCTGTCATGCTGTGGGTGGGGAGGCAGGGGTGTGGGGTGGCGGGGGAGCAGGGTGGCAGGGATGTGGGTGATGACAGAAATGGGTTCAGATGCTGGCTCCGCCGCTTACTAACTGTGGGTCCCCTGGGCAAAGTCCACAGCTGCACCTGCTTTCCTCACCTCCCGGCTGAGGGTGGGGACTCACTTCCCAGGCTGCTGGGAAGGTCAGTCGAGCCGAGCTGTGCACAGAGCCCAGCACGGAAAGTGTCCCTTTCCCCACCAAAGGGGCAGAGAGAGAACTCCTGACCTCAACACCCACTTCCCGCAGCACAGGCTTTGTGGCTCCCTGCCTCTTGGCGCCTGCCCCTTTCCCCCACGTGTGCTCAGGTTCTTTGTGTACGTGTGTTAGCTCCCTGGGGTGGACACCGGCCTCTGAGAACAGAGGTCACGGCTGCTCTGTCTCCCACATCTGGCCCTGGGATGGGCATGGAGAGGCTCAAGATGTGGCTTCTCCCGTGCCTGACACCGAGTGCTCAGTCTGTGGGTGAACGAGCCTGGCGCTGCCCTCTCGGCCGAAGCCCTGCTGACAGTGACCCTCCCGCTGCTACCTCTTCTTCCTCACCATTCTACGTCCCTGCACCCCCAAACCGTGCTGGTCCCCACAATGACTCGTCAGTGCCTGGCCCCGGAAGGCTGTCGGAGGAGAGGGAGCTGCTGTGCCGTCTCAGATAACGGGAGACAGCTCTACCAAGGCCTTGGTCCGAGCCATCGGCAGTGCCTGCCTGGTCTCCCTCCCTCGCCACTTGCCCTGCTCCACGGAGACCCTTGGCACGTCCCAGCGGATGGCTGGCCTCAGCGGTTCCCTATTTGTCTCGAAATACAGTTCAAACTCCTTCCTGTGCCCGGCATGACTCTGGCTTTGCCGGCCTCGCTCCCTCACTCGGCATTACTGTCCTCAAAACTGATCTCCTTCCTGCCTCAGGGCTTTGCCCACTGCTGTTCCCTCTGCCCAGAATGCTCTTCCCACTCCACCCTTGAAGCATCAGATTCGGGATCTGGTCGGCTTGCAGCAGTCTCAGGTTTTCCTCTCTGCAGTCCTCGTTACGATATTTCCCAAACGTGCTGCGCCATTCTGTTTGCAGCCTTCCTCCTCTCTTCCCCTCTAAACTGGAGTCCCCCCCCCCCCCCAACCCCTGAGGACCAAGATCTCATCCGTGGTGCTCACTGCGGTGTCCCCACGCCTGGCACGTAGTGCGTGCTGGACAGATGTCTTTGGAATGACTGAATGCACTGGTCTGAGGACAGTGCTGTCAACTCCTGGCTCGGAGCAGGGAGCAGGGCCAGAATGTGGGGCTGGACGGTGTCCCAGTTCCTCCTGTGCTCAGGCCTCACTGGTGGCTCCATTATGCATCTCAGTGAGCTGTGACCTGCCCAAACACCCAGCCCCCCATGCCTACTTATTTCCCTACCCAGAGCCTGGGAGGGATGGCTTTTGGATGATTTCACGTTTCTGATTATCCAGGATACATCTCCCCTCCAGTGAGAAGGATCAAGAATTTGACATTTTAAACCCTAAGCAGCCTCTCCTTGGCTGGCTTCAGATCTGTGGCTCCAGAGCTTGCAGTAAGACGCACAGGGATCGGAAGGCCATTTTAATCTCGGCCTAGCTTCATTAGAAGGAAAAATAAGCTGCCCCCCCCCCCCGCCCCCAATAAGTTGGATCCATTGTCTGTGCCATGCAGAGTTGCAAGGGCCTAAGAGATTATCAAAGTAAATTTCCTTGAACAGATGGGGAAACAGAGGCCGGAGTGGGGATGGGGGCGGGGGGAGGATAAAAGCTTGGGCGAGGGTGTACAGCAAGTTGATGGTCAATCGGAGAATGGTCCTCTCCAGGCCTCCTGCCTCCCACATGCTGCCCTTTGCCACCTCCAGGCACCAAGGGAGCCGGCTCAGGCAGGGAGGGTGGATAAGTTTCCACTGACATGACTTCAGGACCCTGAGTCACCCTGGCCTTGAATGGCCTCCCCAGACCAGGACCGGGGCTTTCCAGGGGCCTGCGATTCTTTCTCAAGGAAGAGATGCTCCCAGGAGGCCGCAGTGCAGCAGAGGTGACGGGTGAGGGGCTCAGACCGGCCCCCGGCCCACTCGCCGCCACCGCACCTGAGCCAGTTCTGTGACGGGCAGTTGTTTGAAAGTGGGATCTGATGGGCCGGTTGTGCCTGTATTTCGGGAGTGGGCTGTTCACCAAGAAAACCATTTCTCCAACCTCCTCCCTTCCACCATTCTGGGAACATTTTCCCTCTTTTCTTTTCCTTTCCTAAAACATTAAATCTTGAGATAAGACGGTGACTCTAACTACTGAGGTCACAGTGCCCGATAGAGACTCTGAACATCTAGCGATATGTAGCTGAGCTCCTGGGAGAGCATGTGGCTTCAGGAAAGGGGCTGGCTTCTTCTAGGCAGGAAACAGCCTGCCCGGGCTCAGCAGGATCCAGCACTCCTCCTCCCCAACAAGCCCGACCACAGTGAGCCTCCCCCAGGCCTTTGGGGGACCATAGGTGACCAGGACAGGACACTCCGGGCCATTCTCTAAGGCCCTTAGAGAGTGCGACCCGCCATCCTGGCTGCAGTTAGCCTGGCCCTCCCAGACAGCATCTGAGACTGAGTGAAGCTTCTGGGCCAGTGGTCGGCACACCCTGGCTCGAGAGCCACGTGCGCTGCAGTTTGCTGTTCTGATAACTAATGAGTTTGCTGACCACTGTGCTAGGCAAGTCAGGGTTGGTACCTTGGACGGGCCCTGGCAGACAATTACACAACCTGCACTCCGCGCCCGCCCCCATCCCCCCACCCCCGAAGCCATTCAAACGCCCTCGGTTACATGAGGTCAAGTGGTGACTGTTTCCTGGGACTCAAATGTGCCTGTGGGGCCCTCGCAGGAAGGAGGGAAATATCCTGAGGAACCGAACTAGCTGAGACTGCCGTCTACGGTTCGCCTGCCCTTTCAATGACATCCAAGTCCCGGGCTGGGTTCAGCGCTCAAGCAACCCATTTCCCTAAGACTGTCCCCAAAACCCAACCCTGGACTCGGTACTCAATCCCAGCTCCTTGTTTTCAGCCCCTCAACCCTGCCCTTAAATTCTTCCTGCTCATCACTGTACCTCTTCTCCTTGGCCAACCTCTGTCCTCATCTCCGCCCCCACCCCCGAGGCCTCTGCCCACTGCACCCACATCCCCAGACTCACCCAGGAACAAAACCTCGAGGTCCAGTCGGCACTTCAGTTGGCACTACAGGGAGGTGACGGTGAATGTGTCCTCGGGGTGAGGCTCCGCCATGGGCCCCAGGAAGCCGCTCTTGGGGCCCCCACCCAGGCCGGGATGCGCCTGTGGCATGAAGCCCGGATACCTGTAGGTGGCATCCTGCAGGGGCAACAGTGAGTCCCTTGGCACAGGGGACAGGGTCAAGTCACTTAGGAGCGGGCAGCCGTAGCCAGCAGCGGCCGCGGCAGGGCCACGGGGTGGACCGGGCGGCCGGCCCAGCTCCAGGGGCTCCTTGTCGGCCTTAGGCGTGGCTGGCGGGCTAGCCAGGTGTGGGGCGCTGAGGCACGCAGCCTCCGTCCTGCCCAGGAAGTCAGCCAGCAGCCCCGTGCCCACCTTGCCTTCGTAGGGTGGGCTGCGTGCAGCCGAGCCCGGCGGGTACCAATACGCTGTGCCCTTGCAGCTGGGGGAGTCGTAGTGGGGCTGGCCCAGGGGCAGGTCCCGGCAGCTCAGGTGGGCCTGGGCCGCGGCCGCGTGGCTCAGGCTGGCCCCCGGGAGCCCATGCTTGAGGGGCTCACAGGCAGCCAGCTTGGTGGGCGGCGGCCGCAGCTCTTCCTTGAAGCCCAGTGTCGGCGAGCAGGTGGGCGAGTACGCCTTCTGCAGGCCGGCGTCAAACACCGTGGGCGGGTGGGCCAGCGGCGGGAAATGCTTGCCGTCCAGCTCGGGGGCGCCCAGGCTGGGCGAGTCGCAGTGGAAGCCTTGGCCGAAGGTGCCGTCGGACGGCGTGGACGGGTTCATGGAGTAAGGCCCCATGAAGTCACAGGGGTCTCGCTCGCCCACCCCGAAGGCCCTCGACTGCGAGGGCAGGGGGGACATGCTGCTGTCCCCGCTGTAGTAGTCCAGGCCGAGGTCCGGGCTGTCCTGGAACAGCGGGTTGACCGGCTGCGGCTTGGGGATGAACTTGGCTTTGGCCGCCGCGCCGCCCCGCTCCTTCTTGGCGGAGCAGGCGCCGCCGCCCCGCCCGCCCCGCGGCTGCCGGGGGCCCGTGCTCCGTTTGGACGGGTAGCCCGCGGCGGTGGCCGAGGCGGAGGACGGGAAGCCCAGGTGCGAGGCCTCGAACAGGTCCACCTTCTTCCGCCGTCCGCGGCCTGGCTTGGAGCTGCTCTGGAAGAGGACGCTCTGGTTCCAGTTGTAACCGGGGGCGGACGACGCCTCGTTCCAGTCCATCATGAGCTTCTCCAGGCTGGACAGGCTGGACTGGCCCTCGCTGCTCGAGGCCTCGCTGTTGGCGCGCCGGAAGCCGCCCCCGACGGGCTGATTGAACTGGGTGCTGTCGGAGGACGACTCGGAGAAGGTCTCGGACATGGCCGTCTGCTGCTTCACCTTCTGCGGCGTGTAGTTGGAGATGTCCAGGATCACGTTGGGCTCGCTGACGTGGCAGTCGAACCCGGGATTGTAGAGCTGACTGAAGGCCTCCGAGGCCCAGTCCAGGCCTCCATAGCCCTGCCGGAAAGGCCACTGAGACGCCCCCACAAACTGCCGACAGTTCTCGGGCGAGGGCTGGAAGGAGGAGGAGGAGGAGGAGGCAGCGGAGGCGGTGGTGCCCTTGGGCACCATGTAGCCGCCGGGCGAGACGGTGCTGGCCCGGCTGTCACAGCGCAGGGGCGTGGGGGCCGACCCGGAGAAGGCGGCCCCCTCGGAGCTGTTGAAGAAGGAGGCCTTGCTTGGTGGCAGGCAGGGGCCACCGGTAGGCGGGGGGGCGTAGCCGGCGCTGTGGGCACTGCTGGGCGAGGCGGGCAGGCTATTGCCGCTGCCGTAGGCAAAGCTGCAGTCCTTGCTGTTCGCACAGTCTTGGCCCGTGAAGGGCTTGGCCGGGGCGAATACACTCTGTCCGGCCCCGTAGCCGCCGTACTGGGGGGTGTAGGTGTTGGCAGGCGGGTGGGTGGTGGGGGAGCGGGCCATGGCGGAAGGCGGAGGAGCCAGCTTCGGGAAGGTCTCGGCTGCCCGGCAATCGGACGTGGCGGGGGTTATGCCGTAGCTCCCTGCCCGGCCCGGGGGGAAGGTCTGGCGAGCAGGCAGGACAGGCTGAAAGGAGGGCTCCGCTCCGGGCCCGCTGCTGCCCACCGCCACCGGGCTGGCCTTGGCTCCCCGGCTGGGGAATGCAGCCAGGCCCCGCTGGGCGGGCAGGGCGCTGGTCGGGGGCCCCGCGTAGGTGCCCGATGCCTTCCGGGACTCGGGGCCAGGGCGTGAGGCTGAAAGGGCAAAGTCCAAGAGGTCGGAGGAGTCGTCCGAGTCGAGCAGGGAGCGGAAGTAGCCGGTGAAGAGGTTCTGGCGCTCCTGGCTGAGCTCGCTCTGGCCCGCGGGCGTGCCCGCGCCGTAGTAGCTGCCGCGGCCCGAGGCCCCGCTCTCCAGCCCGGCGGCGGCAAAGGCCCGGGCCTCCGTGCCCTGGAACCCGCAGTTCCGGCCGGCCTGCCCACCCGGGTGCCCGTGGTGAAGGGCCCAGCCGCCGCCCTTGTCCCCGGCCCATTCGGCGCCCGCCTCCCCGAAGCCGGGGCCGCCGGGCACCTGCTCCGGGAACAGAGTCCCGTTCTTCCGGGACCGCCGCTTGCGCTTGGGCTTCCCGGTCAGGGCGTCCACCTCCCCGCGGCCCCGTTTGCGGGGGTGGCCCAACTCGGTGAGGCCGGGGCCCCCCACCCCGGCGGCTGCCACCGCCACCGCCTTCTTTTTCTTGCCGATGCCCTCGAAGAAGTCACTGAAGGAGCAGCGGGCCGCCTTGGCCGCGTGGCCCCCGCCGCGACCCCCGAAGCCGCCCGCCTTGCCGCCGCGCCGCCGGAAGCCCTGCACGCGGTGCAGGAAGTGGGAGATGCTCTGCGTGTCGGGCGCCTGGTGCACGGACTCGGGCTCGCTGGGCGTCCAGCAGCGGGGCGGCGAGCAGCGCCCGGCGCACTGGCTCTGGCGGTTCAGGAAGGCCAGCTTGGCCAGCACGTCCGAGTACTCGGCCTTGCTGTCGTTGGCGTCGGCCGCGTAGGACGGCTGCGGCGACGCCAGCTTCTGCTTCCGCCGCCGCCGCTTCTTCACTTCCGGCATGGCCATGGCGGCCGCCGCCGCCACCGTGGCCGCCTCCGCCGCCGCCGCCACCACGGCGGCCGGCTCCTTGGGCTTGCCGGGGCCCAGCAGCAGGTTCTTGGGGGGGCGGCCGCGCTTGCGCTTGAGGATGATGGGCATCTCGCCGGGGGGGAAGACCACCACCACGTTGCGCCCGTTGTTCTTCATCTTCAGCAGCGGCGTGGGCTCCGCCGACACGCGCAGGCCCAGCTCCTTGCCCTCCACGCTCAGGCTGCTGCTCAGCGAGGACACCTTGTAGGTGGTCTTGTTCCGCCGCCCCAGCGACACGGGGATCTTGGCCATCTTCACCACCATGCGGCGCACGCCCCGGCACTTGCTCTTGCGGGTAGGCATCATCGGGTTCTGGGAAGGCTCCGGCTCCAGCTCCGGGCCTGGGCCCCCGGGCAGGGCAGGAGGCGGCAGAGGCGGCGGTGGGGGCGGCTCGGCCAGGGCGGCCGCCATCCCCGTGGGCATGGGCATGGGCATGGGCATGAGGCGGCCCTCGGGCCCGGAGTCTGCCTTGCGCCCCCGACCGGCCTTCCGCCGGCGACACAGGATCTTTGGCCTATCGGTGCGCCGCAGGGCGTACTTGGGGAGACCCTCAGCCCCGGGGGGACCGTGGGGTGAGCACAGATCCAGGTGCAAGGGCTCGGCCAGCGGGCAGGGCCCGAGGGGCTGCTGGGGCTCCAGACGGCGGCCAGGGACGTCCAGCAGTTTGGGCAGCGGGTCCAGTCCCTGAGGGTCCAGCAGCTGTGACTCCAGGGAGTCGGGCAGGGTGTCCAGGGCCTGCAGGGACAGGCTCGGCAGCCCCAGAGGGTCAGCCAGAGGCTGCAAGGGCGGCAGCTCCAAAGCTTCCCCAAGCGGTTCTAGCGCCTGTGGGTCCAGGAAGCGGGGCTGGGGGTCCAGGAGCTGAGGCTCCGGCTCAGGCGACGGTGGCTCAAGGGCCTGGGCCTCCAGCAGCTGGGCCTCGGGGCAAGTGAGGGAGGCCAGCTCGTTAAGGATGTCGGCGTCGGCGAGTTCCGAGTAATCGGGGCCGTCGGGCTCAGGTTCCGGGGGCAGGCCCGTGGCCGCGGCCGTGGCTCCGGGACTGTGGCCTTGACCGGGCTGAGGGCTGTCTCTAGGCTCGGGCTCGGGCTCATAGAGGGGGTGACCGGACCGCTCGGACTTGGTGTGGGGGGTGGCCCGCTCCTCTGGGCTGCGGATGCTGTTGGCCAGGCTCGGGGAGGAGAAGAAGCTGTACTGGAGGTCGCCGGGGGGCGGGGCGGGCGGGCGGCTGAGCCGGAGCCCGCCGCAGTCCAGGTGCACGCCGCTGTGCTGCAGGTCCTGGGAGAGCCGGGTCAGGTCCTTCATGATGTCTATCAGCTGCACCACCGGACGCAGGTTCACCCGCCCGTTGTCCCAGTGACGCTGGGAGCTGCTGCCGTCTCCAGCAGGGGTGGGGCAGTGGGCCTGTGAGACCGGGCGAGCGGCCCGAGGGGGCAGCAGGCTGTCCCCCTTGGCGAGGACTGGCGGGCGCCGGGCGCTAGGGTCCCGGCGTGGGGGTGGGTGGGTGTTCTCGGAGAAGGTTTGGGCGAAGGCCTTGTCAGGTGGGCTGGCGGGGGGCCGGGTGGGAAGCAAGGGGCGGGGGGTGGGGGGGCCGCTGGGGTAGTACTTGGGCTCCCGGAGGTAGTCAGGAGAGCTGCACACGGCACTGGAAGTCACCACCAGGCCCTGGGGCTTCACACGCATCCTGACCTTGTCCTCCGAGGGCCGCCAGGCGGGGCCGGGGCTGACATGAGGGTGCGAGAAGCCGGGACCAGGACCTACCGGGCAGGACAGGCAGGAGGTCCCTCACGGAATACTCTGGTCCCATCAGCTTCCCGTATCCCCAGTGAACCTCTGCATCCTCCAAGTCCCCTCCCCACGTCAATCTGCCTGCTGACCCCTAGCTCTTCCCAAACCACCACATGCACCCCGAACCCCTCCCAAGCCCCAGCTCCACTTGGTAACAGCTCACCCCCTTCTAGATCCTGGCTATGTGCGCAGGATACCTGCCTCTGACAGGGAGAAACAGCAGGGCAGGGCAACCACTCCAGGTCAAACTGAGGCGGAGGGCTAGGCCCCTGCCAGAGGGCCAGGAAGTCCTATCCAGGGCAAGGCCTCCTCCCTCCTTCTGTCCCCATTCCCAGGATTCCGGAGGACCCCAGCCACTCACCCTCGGCTCTGCCGCCTGGGCTGTCACACTGGAGATATCTGCGGGCAGCAAGACAGGCAATGGGAGATCTGAATGGTCTGGTGGCCACGACCCAATCCCTGCCCCCCTGCCCACCTGCCTGGTCTTCTCCACAAACCTCTCCCCCCCTCCCCCTGCAGCTGCCTCCAGGACACACACCCGGCTGACCTGATTCAGAGAGGGCCCCCGTGCCTGGGGGCTCGGCTAGCTGCTGGCTGTCAGCTGGGGGTGCAGTGAACAGCTTCGGCCTGAGCCCAGGCCTCGGGGTGGGGGCAGCGCCTGGAAAGGACCATCGCAGCTCAGGTTTAGTAAGCACCTACTGCGTGCCAGGCACTGGGCCCGAAGCTGTCCGGGCATCGGTTCATTTCATTCTTCACACCAGTCCTGCGAGCCAGAGGCTGTTAATAACCCCACTTTTTGCAGATGAAGAAATGAGGCTAAGAGATGAAGTAACATCATTCATTCATAGTATTTATGGAGTGCCTATTTGCACAAGGATTGGGTAGACAAAAGCATCAGATAATCAAAATGACTTAATTGTTATTGGGATAAAAGCTGTAAAGAGAAAGCGAAAAGTGCCTGAGGTCAGAGGTTTAGCAATCAGACCAGGGAGTCAACAACAATGGAAGCTCATACTTTGGGGACCTTTCTCTGTTGCCAAACTCTGGCCTAAGCAGTTCCTAAGGATTATCTCATCTAACTTCCCTACAAAGCTAAGATCAATGTGATTATCATCCCCATTTTTACAGAGGAGGAAACCACCCACTGTGAGATTTTAAGCACCTCAAGGGCAAGGATTTCTGTCCGGTTCATGTCTGTGTATCTCCCAACACCCTGACCGCACGTGGCCCACACGTGTGCTTCCAAAAACACGGGACGGATGCATGAGACACTCAGAGCACGCGTGGGCTCTCTCATTCCTCCCCAGACCCAAGTGTGACCCAAGGAGGAGGAGGAGGGAAGGGAGGGAGACAAGAATGTGGAAAGGGACATTTTCTGACCCCCCACGCCCACCCCCCATCCCACCCCGCTAAACACTCTCAGAGCCCTCTCCATCTCACCTTCGTAGTATTTATCACGACTCCAATCAATTACGTGTACAACTGGCAGTGCAGTGTGTCCCCCTGGAGTGTGGGCTCTTTACGGGCAGGGATGCATCTGTCTTGTTTATTACCGCCGTATCCCAACCCTAGGGCCTGGGCTATGGATGCTACATAAATATTTACCAGCTGACTCCCCGAGCGGGTCTGGGCAGAGCTGGGATTTAGACCCAGGCATGTCCGACTTTCAAGGGAGCCTGAGGGCTCAGGCCTTGGCTGATCCCCAGGAGATGGGATCTTGGGGAGCAAGGAGCGGAATGGGCCCTGCCTACCACGAGGGTTTTAAAGACCCCGACTGTGCCTACTGCTTGGCCCTGACCGAATCCCCAGGGTCCATCCCTCACAGACACCTGCGGGCTCTCACTGGCTGTCACACCGCCCTGCCTGGCACCCCCCAGGAAGGCTGCAGGCCTGACTCAGGACGGGATGGTGTACATCCCTCTTGGTGGACACCGATTTGCAATCTACAAAGCGCCTCCACACAGAGGACCCACTGAATCCGTACAGCTGCCCAGGACTCATGGTTTACCGTCCCCTCCTTCCCGAGGCAACAGGCTCAGAGCGATTGTGTAACTTGCCTGAAGTGACATAGCTGCTAAGTGGCAGGATTCCTGACTCTGCCCCAAGTCCAAAGCCTCCTTCTCCTCCCAGCTCCTGCAGCTCTCCTCCAGCCACCCCTGAAAATGCTCTGCCTGGAGCTGTGATCTATTATAATTTAAGGCTGGGAGGAACCTTCAAACCATCTAACCCACTGGCTTCCAAACCCCGGGCCTGGGGGAGCTGTGGAACATTCCAGATGCCCAGGCCCTAGTCCAGGGGAGTCTGACTCACAGATCTGAAGGGACATCTGAGAATCTGTATTTTTACTGATTTTTATTTATTTAATTAATTTAAAAAAAATTTTTTGGTTAATCCTTAATGGAGGGTATTTTTCCATTAATTTTTTTTGGGGGGGATGTGGAAGAGAGAGGAAAGACAGAGAGAAACATCAATGTGAGAGAAACACATCCTGGGGAGGAGTCTGCAACCAAGGTACATGCCCTTGACCGGAATCGAACCTGGGACCCTTCAGGCCAGAGGCTGACACTCTATCCACTGGGCCTTCAATCCAGGCTGGGAGGAAAGCCTTCCAAACTGGCTAGGGCTTTTATTTTTTAAGAGAGAGGAAGGGAGAGGGAATTAGACACAGAAACATCACTGAGGAAACATCCATGAGAAAGAAGCATTAATCAGCTGCCTCCTGCACACCCCCACTGGGATAGAGCCTGCAACCTGGTGTGTGCCCTGACTAAGAATCGAACAGGCAACCTCTTGGTACATGGGAACCAATCACTAAGCCACAGCGGCCGGGCTGGGAACCTGCATTTTTAAACAGCACTCCCCCCCCCCCTCAGTGGGTACAATGTTTTAGTGCCACCTCAAGCCCCTCCCATTTTACAGACGAGGAAACTGAGATGGAAGAGGGAAAGGGCCTTTACCCAAGGCATGGGGAGGGCCCTTCGGCTGCTCATTCAGGCAGAACATCCCTCTGTCCACTGTCCCTTCCCGCCCTGCAGCTCCCAGGCCTCCACGGTCCTCACCATCGTCCTGCCTGTTGGATCACTCGGGCTCTGCTCTGTCCATGCCTCGCCCCTCCCAGGCAGGGCTCACCCTGCTCGTGCGGAAAGGACTGTGGGTAACACCCTCGCCAAGGAGGGAGGGGCTCGGGCTCTGGAGTCTCCAGTTCTGACTTCCATATGGTTGACCATGGGTCCTGAGACCTTCCTAGAGATGCCTCGCCAGAGCCGCCATCCCTCCCTTCCTGAGGGTGGTGTTTACTGAGCAAGCTCCCTGCTCTAGAGACCTCCCACTTGGGACTAGGGGCTGTGATCTTGGCAGAAGAGAAAAACCTCCTTTCCAGTGGCTGCTTCTGTTCCACCCGCCCGTGAAGACCTTTGGGCATGTCCTCCTGCCAGTCCTCTGTGAGCTCACGCGCGCTCTCTCTCTCTCTCTCTCTCTCTCTCTCTCTCTCTCCCTCCCTCCCCCCCTCCCCCCAGGCTCTGGGATCTGAGGGAAGCAGCTGGCTCTTCTCCCCACCACACCCAGGTGGCCATTTTCTTGGACCCCTCCCAAGGGTGCCACCTATGCCATGTCTGTGAACAACGTCAAAAGGATCTTTCTGTCTCCGTCAGCTTCTGGGTCAGTGTGTCTGCGCCTGCCCATGGGGACACCCGGCGGCTGGGAGGGGGCCCCAACCTGCCGTGCACAGTGCCGGGAAGCGCCAGCCCACATCCTTGAGTCCCCAGCCCCACCCTCCCCCGGCTGTGGCTGTGACCACCCCACCCCTTCCCCAGACTGCCCCCCTCCCCCACCCACAGCCTCCCCAGGGGAGCCAGACTGCCAGGCCTAGCTCTCACTTCCGGCCTCATGACCCTCTCTCCAGCCTGCACACTCCTCCCCCGCCCCCCCACCATTTCCCTCCCAGCCTGGACTGAAGGCCCAGGATGTCCTCAGATGGAAAACACCACATCAAAAGGGCCATTACTGCTGCCGTGAGAGCTCCAGCATCGCCCTCTGGGGCCTTTATCTCCCAGGACCTGTCCCCTCAGGAACGAAGCAACACCCCCCCCCCACTCTCCCCCTCTTTAGCCCCTCCCAGCCGCCCAATTACACCTGAAAATCCTCCAACCTGACTCCAGCCCGAAACGATAACAAAAATAACAGTAACGAAAAGATGTCGGTAGCTGTCACTTATTTGGCATTTAAATGGAGGCCCGGAGGTTAAATCATGCCCTTAAGGACAAACAGCCGTGGTGTGGAAGAGTTGAAGTCTTAATTTAGGTTTGTTGGGATCCCCTAAACCAAACTCCCTCCCTGTCCAGAGCCAGCCCCTTCCTCTGCAGCCTCCTCCAACCGTTCCAGTCCCAACAGCAGTTTTAATTTTTGAATTCTACCTACCCCCCTGCCAGCTTCTCCACCCACCCCTCTCACCTCGGCCATCCTGCTGCACTATCCTCCCTCACCACTAGGTGTCCCCTCAGAGCCACCGATGCCCCCAAGGGGAGCAAGCCCCGCCCTGCTCCCCAGAGCCAGCAGCCCCCGCCCCAGCACAGCACACCCCACCCCACCCTACCCCCAGACACACAGAGCTCCTTTGTGAGGCCCTCGCCCACCCCCTTCCTGCATGGAGCGGGGCACCTGGCAAGCAGGTCTGCCCTAGACCCGCCCCTGCCAGCCCCCTGACCTGGGTGCCAGGTGTGCAGGCACCACAGCCAGCTCTGGCTGAACCCGAGGGTCACCCTGCCTGGAGGCCCTCCCTTCCTCCCTCCGAGGTCACCCAGGGACTGTGCTTCCCGCCCTGCTCCGCCCCCATCCCCTCCTGCCCTTGGCCCTCCCAGACTTCTGTCCTTGTCTTTCCCTCGTCTCCCAGAGGACTC